GTAAGGCTGAATGTGCTATATGTGGTGTATGATTTCACACAGGACAGCCACAGCCATAAATGCTGTTTCCAAACTGTGCCTGTGTCACGTCAGAGTCATCCCAAGGAAACGCTGGCCTTAACTGTCCACCCGTGGGTGACAAGCTGGAGCTGCAATGTTCACAGCTCACAGTTAATGATGGAAGATGGGGTGTGGAGCACTAGTCTGTGTTTGCGCTGAAGTACTTACTGGCATTGGCCTCGTGCTCAGAGGTGAAGCTCCTGACACTCCCGTTGGAGACTTGCTCTTGGGCACAAAGTCCTTTGCTGGCCCTGAGCTGGCTGGGGCTCCTGAAGCCTGTTCCCTGCATGCCTCCCTTCTGGGGCCCTTCCTCGCTGCATCCTCACCCCATGGGCCGAGCCCTGACCTCGGGTTTGTGTTGCAGGAATGGGCCCTCACCAAGGAAAAGTCAGTGAAGCACATGGACTTGTGCCTGACCGTGGTGGACCGGGCCCCTGGCTCCCTCATAAAGCTGCAGGGCTGCCGGGAGAACGACAGCAGGCAGGTAGGTGCCGGTGGGGACAATCCCAAGCCAGACCGCCCTGCCCCAGGGCCGGGCGCCCAGGGCCTGGTGTTCACTGGGGGCACCTGTGACTGGTGCTGTCTTGTGTCCCCACGTGGAGCCCCTGACAAGCTGTGAACACCCAGCACATCCTGCCTGGGATCCCTGTGAGGAGCATGGGATGGGTGTCACCCAGGCTAGTCCATCTTCTGGGGGGCCGCTTCTGCCAGAGCCCACCATCCTAAATGTTTCTCCCACCACCTCTGGATCCGTCTGTTTATGTTGAGCCTCCCCTTTCATAGGCTGCAGGGGCAGGGCTGTGCTTTGCGGCTACGTGTCCAAGTCCTGTGCAGGTCTACACGGACTGGGCACTGGGGTGGGAGTCCCAGCACCAGAGGGGGCTCCCCCTCGTCCTGGGGGCTGGATGAGCTAGGCCGGGCCCTCCCTGAGCCAGGCCTCCTGCACCAGGAAAGACTGTGTCTGGTGGTGCCTGGGAGCACCCGAGGCATGGGGGTGCTGGTGGCCGGGGTGCGTGGATTGCAGCTCCCTGCTGCCGACCCTGCCTGGAGGCACAGACCCCTGGTCCTAGACCAGGGAGTGACCTGGTGGAGTCCCGGCCCCTGGCTTCTCCACAGCACTGGAGCGGCCCAGGGCAGCCCGCCAGGAACCAGGCTGGCCGAACCAATGGAGTTCAGTTTTGCTTTAAAGATGAGAGTTCATGACTTTACTCATGAGACGTTAGTGAGACAGTGACCTACGAACCAGCCTAGAAAAGACAGTGAAGCTCATGATAACATCACCTCAGAGGAGGTGTTTCACTTCCTTGATGATGAACCTCCAACCCTGAGAGGTAAGACCTGTATTTTATAAAACAGTATCTATTAAGAGCCCTTTATTTCTGAAGCCAGAGACCTAATGTAGCTTATTCTCCTCCCCACACCCCTGGATGTTGTTTCTTTGGCTGCACTGGTTATCACTGTGATTGGAACTAGGGCTGATTGTCATCCTTGTGACAGGTGGCAGATCTTCTAAGCCAGTATAACTGTTCCCTCTTCAGTTTTTAGCTTTTGAACTTAAGTACTCTCATTTTTAGTATGAAGACTCTCATTTTAAGAATTGTGAAAATTTTGTTACCAAAAGTCTTCACTATGGTATGTTCTTAAATTACTGTTAATTTCTGAGTTTGGGGGGTTTGTGGATTTCTTTTTCTTTTCCTCTTCCTTTCTTTCTCCCTTTCTTCTTGTCATTTACTGTAAATGCTGCACATCCATATTATGTATCAGGACATTGGTTATTTTTATGCCTTCTTGGTTATAGCTGTTATCAGAGTGCCAAGACTGTCACCTACTATTTGCTCACCTGCAAACCAACTACTTCTAAGTTCCAGTCAAGGCAGTTGTTTTTAGTTTTGGCTATTTTCTTTCTACCCATTAGTCTTTGGAATAAAAATTCAATTTAAACACACACACACCTCCCTTGGAGACATTATCATGAACCTTGCTGTCTTTTCTAGGCTGGTTTGTAGGTCAGTATTTCCCTAACTACTCGTGAGTAAAGTCAAAAACTCATTTTTGAAGCAAAGCTGAACTTCCACTGGTCCAGTTGGCCTCATTGCTGGTGGGGCGCACTGACTGGGCTGCATGTGGGATCTTAGTTCCCCGACCAGGGATGGACTCGTGCTCCCTGCAGTGGAAGTACAGAGTCCTAACCCCTGGACCACCAGGGAAGGCCCCCACCAATGGACATTTTGAAGAGAAATTCCACATTTTTGTTTATTCATTAAATATTTTTCCTTTTTAAATTTATAAATTGTAAACGATTAAGGTGCAAATATATATGTTACACACACACTCAAGTTACCTTTTTCAAACCATTCAGAATGTACATTTATGTTTTTTAGCTGGTGTTCTCTGATCTGCGCCCTGGTGGTGCCTTGGGGGCAAAGCCTTTTTTGAGCCCAGGGGAAGTGGCTAGTGCAGCCCCTAAATGATGTTCCCATGTGCCCACAGGGAGCCTGGGCTTATTCTCTTCTGTCTCTCCTCACAAGACAGGCAGGTCTAGGGAAACTGAGGCCTGGGGCCTACTGGAGCCAGGACTCCACGCGGGTTTCCTACCAGCATTCACTTCATAGAAGCACCCCCGGGACACTGCAGCCCAGATCAGGCCCCTTGCTTGGATCCCAGGTGTCCGGAAACACTTGCAAAGTCTCTCCTCTGTCCCTCCTGCCTGGTTCTGGGTGCCCCCCTCCCTGCTCTGCGGAACGCCAGCAGGTCCTTAAATGCCTGTCTGTTTTGATGTCTGTGGCACCCGGATGAGAAGGAGGGACTGGTAAACAAGGGAGTCCCTGTTCCTGCCCCGACCTCCTGGGACCTGCCGGTCGGCATCAGAAGAACACGCGTCAGGCCAGGTGTGCTGCCTGGATGTCAGGGCAGGGCCGCCTGTGCATGGAGGAGGGATAAAGTGATGACCTTATCTGAACTCCAAGCCTTTGTTACAGACATACAGATGCTCCATCTCTGGAGGAGTCTCCTACAGTGCGAGCTTGCCTGATGGAGAAGGTGTGGCCCTTCAGTGGACCCTCAGCATCTGAGAAGTCTGCCCGCCCCACCACAGGGCTTGAGGCCGCCTTCTGCTGAGGGAACTGGGGTTTCAGCATTTTTTAAGCCCTCCATCTGGCTGACGCTGTGACACAGGCAGAGCTCACTGAGAGAATAGTCACGGTCCATCCATCCCACATTATTTGTCAGAGGGGTTCTGGCCACTCAGAGTGACACATGGATGTTGGCAGTACAAACACACTTCACATGACAGCAGGAAAATAGCAGGAGGAGTGACAGCGAAGGGGAGAGGAGTGGAGGGGGAGGTGATGGGCAGGCAGCGGCCGCCTCCCCCTGCTCATCAGATCGCACTGCATTTCGTTGTTGGCAAAGCCTGCGGCCGGCAGGCTGGGTCAGCAGCATCCCAGGTCCCCACAGCACATCCCTGCAGAGCCCTGTGCAGCCAGTCCCAGTGGAGGGCTCCTCCCCACCTTGCTGTGCCTCTTTCCCACCTTAGTCACTTGCCCTTTGAGAGGAGGCTCCTCAGAGAGTTCTGTCTGGAAGCTGCACTGTCTTGCCAGTTGAAACATTTGGCTTCCAGGCACATCGGTGTGTTTGTGTTATGACTCTGCATTTGCAGAGTCAAAGGACAAATGAAAGCAAGGGGAGGAAAATTGAATTCCATGGTGTCCAAAGGATTTGCAAAACTACCAACAGAAAGGAGCCTCAGTGCACAGAGTGTAAAAAATTAATTAGAATTACAGCCTGCATTAATGAAGGGAGAGCTTTTGAAAGAAAAAAGCATGTTACTTTTTTTAAAGAACAACCATTAGAGATTTTTACATGGGGACGAACAACAGGGTGAGAGGCCCTCAGGTTTCCCACAGCTGGGCTGTGGGCTTGTTTTCTGGTTTACCTGGTGGGATGGTCTGGGTTTAGTGGGGCATAGGTGTGTACACACGGGAGTATGGTGTTAGACCCTGGACAGTACATGTGGAACTTGGCAGGCTGTACCTGGGGACTCAGGGTGGTTGAGATGGGCTTCTCACGCCCACCAAGGTGGAGAGGGTGAGACCACAGATGGTGGAGAAGTGGGCTCCCCAGCACAGCATTCTGTCCGTACCGGCATCCCCTTCCATTGCACTTGGCCGCGTGTAAGTGGGCACTCGGAGGTGACCGGCCCTGGGCCTGGGCAGAGCTGCCTTTGACAGCCGGGGCAGCTTGGGCCCTCCTGGAGCCAGCGTGGTTACTGTGGCTCCTTCCTCAGGGGAAATAGCCTCAGATGAGGCCCTTCTTGTGAATGAACACAAAGTCCCTCCCAGAAATCCTCCTGTGTGGTCCTTGTTAAGACTGAGAGGAACAAGGACCCTGAGCATGGGGCTTGGATGAGGAGACGCGCAAAGAGGGGGAAGGATGGGGCAGAAAAGGGCCTCCAGAGAAGAGGTTTGAGCTGCAAACCCAGTAGAGAGCGCTGGTCTCTTCGAAGCCCTCAGAGACATCTGTTCTGCCCCAGTACTGCCGTGACCTCCTGTCCGTTGTAGTCAGGGCCCGTGCCTTGAGCGGAGCCGGCAGACCCGGAGAGCAGACCCCTGCATCTCCCCTGTTGGCAGCCGTGTTGGAAGGTGTCCTCCTGTCTTTTGCAGAAATGGGAGCAGATCGAGGGCAATTCCAAGCTGCGGCATGTGGGCAGCAACCTGTGCCTGGACAGCCGCGCAGCCAAGACAGGCGGCCTGAGCGTGGAGGTGTGTGGGCCGGCGCTGTCGCAGCAGTGGAAGTTCTCGCTCAACCTGCAGCCGTAGTGGGGCCTCCTGTCTGCCCGCGCCCGGCCACCCGGCAGCGAGCACGTCATCAAGTCTGTTTCTTAAACTTTCCGAGAAACTATATACCTCAGTATTCCATCATGGTCTGCCGGTCGGGAGACCTCAGCGCGGTGCGGGCCGCGAGGAGAAGGGGCTGCCGCGCCCTCCGCGGCCCTGCGCCCCGCCCGCCCAGCGCCGCTGCGGAGCTCCGAGCCCGCGGAGGGCGGACCGGGAGAGAACGGGCGCCCTGCCACACAGCGAGGCGGCCTCTCCTGCCTCCGCCCGGACCCAGACGTCCCGTGCGGGGTCCACCCCGGCCACGGCCTCGGCGTTCCCCCCGCCCTGCCTCCCAACTGTCTTACCAGCGCAGACCGCTTCCACGTGGTGTACCTGCTCTCTTTGGATATGAACTTTTCCACGGTGGACACTAAACCCAGATATATGAGGAGAGAATGTACGGTCAGTTCCTATGGTTTCTGTAAGTCATCCTCATCTTGTAAATTCTCCACAAGGCCCATCATAGCCGCGAGGAGGAGGGGCCGGCGGGAGGAAGGGGCTCCCGTTGCCCCCAGAGCCTTATAGGTGAGGTGGTGCCACCGCGCCCGCTGCGCGGTCCCCCCTCCACTCCCCGGAGGCTAGCGCTGCTCGGAGGCCCCCACCCCACCCCGGCATCTCGGTCTGGCTTCAGCTAGGAGTCACGCTGTGTGTTGAAATCCACTTTTTGTGCCCTTGGTGTCTGTAAACCCTGGACGGGTTACTTATTAGACAGATATTGCTTTGGGTCTCTGTAAATTAAATTTCTTTTCTCTAAGGATAAAGTAAGCAAAAAACAATCTCCCAGCTCACAGTGATGGTGGGAAGCTGTCACAGGCAGCATGGGGCGCCCTGTGAGGGCCCGGGTGCGCTGGGCCCTGTCCCGCCTGCCGCAGGACCTTGGGGTCAAGAATTAGGAAAAGTGAACACCTGCTCGTTGACACTGAGGATTCAGGGTACAAACAGGAGCTTTGTGGCTTAGGAAGGAGGCTTGTGTCAGCATAAAACGCGAGCCAGCTGTAAACTAAAAGCCAAGCGGGAGGAGGCCTGAGCACTGCCCTGACCCCTGGCCTGGCCCGGCAGAGCCCTCCTGGCCTCCGAGGGGCTCACCCGCAGCGGTGGCCCAGCTGCAGCGCCCACAGGAGGGCGCCCCAGTCACTCCCAGGATTACTGCCCTCCTGTCGTCCTGCGCCCCCCGGCCCAACGCTTCAGCGCACAGGTGCCCAGACCTGATGAGGCGTCACGCGGGCACATGTCCTGGCCCCTCTGGAGGGACTGGGTGGTCACAGAGAAGTGGCCCCAAAGGGTTCTGCCAGGTAGACAGTCTGCCAGGTGCAGCTCTTTCCTGCCTGTTTCTTCTAGGAAAGGGGAGGTTGGTCTTTCTTCCTCCACTGCAAAAGCCCCATGTGGGTTTGCTTCATGCCAGTGTGCTCAGGCCTGGAGGCCTGGCTGGGTGACTTTGTCCTGTGCATTTTTGCCCCCTGCCAACCAACCAGGTGTAGTTTCAGCAGACAGGGAGGCCATGGTTGGATTAACTCTGCACACCTCTTATCTTCGGAGGCTGATCTTGACCACCAATAAGCTCTTGGGCTGAGTCCTGGATACCTGTGCAAGGCTGCTGACTGCAGGTGGGCCAGGAAGCAGTCACCCAGTCCTTGGGATCCATGGTCAGGCTACTACTACTGTTAGGGAAAAAAAAGCCCCATGGATGAAAATTAAATTTGGCTTTCAAGCGAAGCAAATTGTCATCAGATTCTTGACAAATCTTTCGCCCACACACCTCCACCCCACCCAGAGGTCTTACCGACCTTGGTAACGTCAGGATGGGTCCCCTGGTCACTGGGGGCGACTCCCCATCGCTGACTGGTGGGGTGGTAGCCGTGGATGGTGTGGGCGCTGTGAGCAGAGGTGGGCGGGGAGGGCTCTCTGAGGTGAGCCCTGTTTACATGACACGGTGTGCCAAAGTGACTTTACTGTGGCCGCGTTGCTTCTCAGTCATTGGGACTGCCCGCCCTCCCACTCCCGTTTCCACAAGTCAAGTTTCTTTCCTAAGAGCCCTTTGAGCAAAGCGTGGCAAAATTAGCTGTCTTCTCTGTGCTGGTCCTTGTTATGTCTTCATAAAAGCTAAAATGATGGTGTCTGTGAGTATGTTTTGCAGATTCAAAATATAGTTTGGTAATTTTTTTTCCAGTTGATTTTTAAAAAGAACTGCTGTACAGAGCTTGTACTTTGTCCATTTTATAGATGGAAACCATCCTTGAAAATTGTTTAACTTAAATAAAGAGAAGATACTTTATAGATACGCCCTGCTGGCGGCTGCAGTCACTCTTGGTCTTTATCGGATGGATGAGACTGATGTTTGGGGACTGTGATTATGGTCTGTCTTGGGTGGGGTAGGGGGGCTGCTCAAGTACCATTTCTTATCACACTCTTACAATGCATTCACCTTTTACTTCTGCACCTTTTGACATTTATTCTTATTGGTAATAATAACCATTACCGTTAGTGTGCCAGGCCCCATGTGGAGCACTTAAATACATCCTCATTGTCTCTTCAGTCACCTGGGGGGATAGTATTTTGGGCTGCGTTTTACAGTTGGTTTGGGAAGCTGATTCTTGAAGCCCATAGCCTCCTCAAGGTCACAGGCTAATCTGCCCAAGGTCACACCACTCTAAGTACTCACCAGTCAGCCTCGGGCACTGAGGCCCAGAGCCTGCCCTCTACATAGGGTAGGGGAGGAGTAAGGGGCTGATGTCATCACAGCTTTTAGAGTATTTTAAATCCTTATACTATTCACCAATTACCTGGGCTCTCCACTTGCATCCCAGGCTGGCTGAGTTCTTCCCTCATCCTCAGCCTTTGAGCAGCCCCACAGGTGTGTCAGGGAAACACAACATTGCCAGTTCTTTAGCAATTTGCAGTGAGGTTGGGGAGGCTGGAAAGATTCACCAATGAGTGCTTTGAACTTTCTGAAGGCCCTGTTCTGCATCGTTTTTCTCCATTAATTGAGGCAACCAAAATTTGCTCCCCTGCCATCTGAGAAACAAAAAGAGCTCTCTTATCATAATTGTGCAGTATACATTAGGGGCCTTTAGGAATCGTGTGTGTGTGTGTGTGTGTGTGTGTATGGGTGTTTCCTGCTTTGGCTGCAGGGAAAAGTTCATTCATCCAGTAAATATTTTCTGAGAAACTATATTGCACTGATACCCTGAAGACCTAGGAGGGGAAAAAGGGAATGAGCAGAGTGTCCAGCAGGCTCCAGGTAGGGTATTTAGAGACAAGATTGGGTAGGTCTGGTCAGTGGTGGAGGCCATTTCTGGGGAGAAGGGAGCTATACGAGCCATGGGCTGGAACAGGGAGGGTCAGATTTGCAAAAATAGAGCAAAGTACTTATCCCAACTCAGCAATTAGATTCTGCAATATATTTCACATTCTGAGAAACATTCAGCTAGAAAAATAAAACGTTCACATGCCCTCTTCTGTCCATGGACTCTCCTAAAAGAAGAAAATTCTCTTCACAGATGTTCTTATATAGTCCTGAGCAACTTACTGATGATACAATATATATATGTCTTTGATTTATGTATTATGTGTACCTGGATATGATAAACATCCTGTTTACAAATGTCATTGCATCTGTGGGGTCCCAAAGAAGTAGTCAGACATATTCGCCCAGCAGCCCCTGCCTGAGCACCTGTGGGCCCAGCCTGGATGCTGGGCGGAGGCTGCAGAAAAGACCATCACTGGTCCCCGCCCCAGGTTACATCCAGAGCTGTCAGATTGTGAACCACACTGAACACAGTTAGGGAAATAGATTGAGTCTTAGAAAGGCCCTGGCCTCCTGAAGATAATGGAGAGAATCTTTGGGGTGGCTAGGGGGAGGGTCCTCCATCGAGGGCCAAGACATGGGAACTCAGAGTGGTGCAGGGTTGCTGAAGAGCTTCCAGAAATTAGCTGTCCATGGTGCTCTTGAATTGTACAGACTTCTCTATTGAAGCACTTTCCGTTAAGAATGTCAGAAATCCCAACTAAATGCAATGTAAATTAAGAAGCATTCATTATCTCGTAAAACAGGAAGGCCCAGGGTGACAGTTCCAAGTTGATTCTGGGGCTTGACTTCATTATGAACAAATTGCTTTCTGCCTGATCACCCCCTGCCAGCTCCCACCTAGATCCAGAAAGGCACTCAGTGAAAAGGAAGTGCTCAGGTGCCTGGGCAGTGGGCAGCAGTCACCTCCCAGCACCACCATCCTCACTCCTGGGCAGATCTGCTGGCCAGGAGGACAGGGAGGGGCAGTCGCTCAGGCAAACACAGCACCCACCACACTTGTCATCCCTAAAAGAATTCTGGAAGCAGCTGGATGGGCAGGGTGGCCACACGGTCACAGGTTCCTGCATCCGTCATGAGAGGAGGCTTCACCCTGGTCCTCTAGTGTCTGCTGGCAATGTGGGGCCCCTTTGTTTTCAAGTGAGTGAGACTCACGTCTTGAGATCACCAAGATAACTAATGATATGGTTATAAAAATATTTTTATAGTATGTGTTTCTTAATGTGTTAAATAGTGCATGCTCATGTCCACACAGTCAAAGGCTTTAGCATAGTCAATGAAGCAGAAGTAAAATTTCATTATTTTTTATGGCTGAATAGTATTCTGTATAGAACACCACATTTTCTCTGTCCATTCTTCCGTTGATGGACACTTAGGTTGGTTCCATATCTTGGTGTGTGTGTGCTCATTTGCTAAGTCATGTCCAATTTTTGTGACCGCATGGACTCCACTCCACCAGGCTCCTCTGTCCACAGGATTTTCTAGGCAAGAATACTCTAGTTGGTTGCCACTTCCTTCTCCAAGTTCATATCTCGGTAATTATAAATAATTCTGCTATGAACACAGAGTAATTGTATCTTTTTGAGTTAGTGTTTTTGTTTTTTTCAGACATATACCCAGGAGCTAGATCGCTAGATTATATGGTAGTTCTCTTTTTGTTTTTTGAGGGAACCCCATTCTGTTTTCCCATAGTGGTTGCATCAATTTACACTCCCACCAACAGTGTACTGAAGTTCCCTTTTCTCATTTGTTTATTCAAGTTAGTTTTGTTTTGTTTTTGATACTGAGTTGTATGAGCTGTTTATATATTTTGGATATTAACTTCTTGTCGGTCATATCATTTGCAAATATTTTCTACCATTCGGTAGGTTGTCTTTTCATTTTGTCAATGGTTTCCTTTGCTGGGCAAAAATTTTTAAGTTTAATTAGGTCATATTTGTTTATTTTTTCTTTTGTTTCCTTTGCCTAAGGAGATAGATCCTTAAAAATAGTGTCACAATTTCTGTCAAAGAGTGTTCTGCATGTGTTTTCTTCTAGGAGTTTTATAGTTTCCAGTCTTACATTTAGGTCTTTAGCACATTTTCAGTTTATTTTTGCATATGGTGTGAGAAAATTGTTCTAATTTCATTCTTTTAGATGTAGCTGTCCAGTTTTCCCAACACCATGTATTGAAGAAACTATTATTTTCTTCATTGTATATTCTTGCCTTCTTTGTCATAGATTAACTGACCATAAGTGCATGGGTTTATTTCTGGGCTCTCTATTCTATTCCATTGATCTATGTGTCTGTGTTTGTGCCGGTAGCATACTGTTTTGATTGCTGTAGCTTTGTAGTATAATCTGAAGTCAGGAAGTGTGATAAGTCCAGCTTTGTTTTTTTCTCAAGTTTGCTTTGGTTATTCAGGGTTTTTAAGTTTCCATATAAATTTTATAATTATTCATTCTATTTATGTGAAAAATATAATGGATACTTTGATATGGATTGCATTACATCTGTGGATTGCTTTGGGTAGAATGGACATTTTGACAATATTAATTCTTCCAATCCAAGAATATGGGATACTTTTGCCATTTCTTTGTATCATTCAATTTCATCAATTTGATAGTATAAAATCAATATTTTATACTTTTCAGAGTATAGGTCTTTCACTTCCTTGGTTAAGTTTATCCCTTTGTATTCTATTCTTTTTGCTGCAATTGTAAATGGGATTGTTTCCTTGAATTCCTTTTCTGATAGTTCATTATTAATGTATAGGAAAGCAACAGATTTCTATATATTAATCCTTGTATCCTGCAACTTTACTGAATTGATTTATTAACTCAAAAAATTTTTCAGTGAAGCCTTTATTTAGTGTTTT